CCCAACAGAAAAAAACAGAGAAGCAAAGGAAGAATCCGTGGTGTAATAGGGAATGTATGAAGGCAAAGGAGCTGAACAAAAGGGCGTGGAGGAACTTCCGTAATAACAGAACACCAGAAAGTAGAGAGAAATACCAGAGAACCAGGAACGAGTATGTTAGTGTGAGAAGAGCAGCTGAGAAAAGGTATGAAAATGATATAGCTAATAAAGCCAAGACCGAACCAAAGCTACTACACAGTCACATCAGGAGGAAGACAACAGTGAAGGAACAGGTGATGAAACTTAGGGTGGGCGAGGACAGGTACACAGAGAATGACAAAGAGGTGTGTGAAGAACTCAACAAAAGGTTCCAGGAGGTCTTTACAATAGAACAGGGAGAAGTCACGGTGCTAGGAGAGGTGGCAGCAAACCAGGTGACCTTGGAAAGGTTCGAAATTACAAGAGATGAGGTCAAGAAGCACCTATTGGAGCTGGATGTGAGAAAAGCTGTTGGGCCGGATGGAATCTCACCATGGGTATTGAAAGAGTGTGCAGGAGCACTTAGCTTGCCACTCTCCATAGTGTATAGTAGGTCACTGGAAACGGGAGACCTACCAGAAGTATGGAAGACTGCTAATGTAGTACCAATATTTAAAAAGGGTGACAGACAAGAGGCACTGAACTACAGGCCAGTGTCCTTAACTTGTATACCATGCAAGGTGATGGAGAAGATTGTGAGAAAAAACCTAGTAACACATCTGGAGAGAAGAGACTTCGTGACAACCCATCAACATGGGTTCAGGGAGGGTAAATCTTGCCTTACAGGCTTGATAGAATTCTATGATCAGGTGACAAAGAAGAAAGAGAAGGATGGGCGGACTGCATTTTTTTGGACTGTCGGAAAGCCTTTGACACAGTACCCCATAAAAGGTTGATGCATAAGCTGGAGAAACATGCAGGAGTAACTGGTAGGGCGCTCCAGTAGATAAGGGAGTACCTAAGCAATAGGAAGCAGAGAGTTATAGTGAGGGGTGAGACCTCAGAATGGCGGGAAGTCACCAGTGGAGTCCCACAGGGCTCTGTGCTTGGACCTATCCTGTTTCTGATATACGTAAATGATCTCCCAGAGGGTATAGACTCATTCCTCTCAATGTTTGCTGACGACGCCAAAATTATGAGAAGGATTAAGACAGAGGAGGACAGCTTGAGGCTTCAAGAAGACCTGGACAAGCTGCAGGAATGGTCGAACAAATGGATGTTAGAGTTTAACCCAAGCAAATGTAATGTAATGAAGATAGGAGTAGGAAGCAGGAGACCAGATACAAGGTATCACTTGGGAGATGAAATACTTCAAGAGTCAGAGGGAGAGAAAGACCTGGGGGTTGACCAGACCACACACTAGAAATTGAAGGGACGACGACGTTTCGGTCCGTCCTGGACCATCCTCAAGTCGATTGTCAATTGAGGATTGAGGATGGTCCAGGACGGACCGAAACGTCGTCGTCCCTTCAATTTCTAGTGTGTGGTCTGGTCAACATACTTCAGCCACGTTATTGTGACTCATCGCCTGCACCTGGGGGTTGATATCACGCCAGACCTGTCCCCTGAAGCTCATATCAAGAGGATAACATCAGCAGCATATGCCAGGTTGGCTAACATAAGAACGGCCTTTAGAAACTTGTGTAAGGAATCTTTCAGAACATTATATACCACATATGTCAGACCAATCCTGGAGTATGCGGCTCCAGCATGGAGTCCATATCTAGTCAAGCATAAGACTAAACTGGAAAAGGTTTAAAGGTTTGCCACCAGACTAGTACCCGAGCTGAGAGGTATGAGCTACGAGGAGAGACTACGGGAATTGAACCTCACTTCGTTGGAAGACAGAAGAGTTAGGGGGGACATGATCACCACATTCAAGATTCTCAAGGGAATCGACAGGGTTGATAAAGATAGGCTATTTAACACAAGAGGCACACGCACTAGGGGACACAGGTGGTAACTTAGTGCCCAAATGAGCCACAAAGATATTAGAAAGAACTTTTTTAGTGTCAGAGTGGTTGACAAATGGAATGCATTAGGAAGTAATGTGGTGGAGGCTGACTCCATGCACAGTTTCAAGTGTAGATATAATAGAGCCCAATAGGCTCAGGAACCTGTACACCAGTTGATTGACGGTTGAGAGGCGGGACCAAAGAGCCAGAGCTCAACCCCCGCAAACACAACTAGGTGAGTACACACACACACACACACACACACACACACACACACACACACACACACACACACACACACACACACACACACACACACACACACACACACAGCTGAGAAAGATACCAGAGCGCCGGGAATGAATAAGTCAGGGTGAGAAGAGAGTTAGAAAGGCAATATGAAAACGACATAGCAAACAAGGCAAAGACTCAATCTAAAATGCTGCACAGCCACATCAGAAGAAAAACAACAGTGAAGGAACAGGTAGTGAAATTGAGGATGTGAGTAGACAAATTCATTACAAACGACAAGGAAGTGTGCGAAAAACTCAATAAAAAAATGCCAGGAGGTCTTCAGCATAGAGCAAGGAGAAGTCCCAGAGATAAGAGAGGGAATATCTAGCTAAACACCACTATAGGACTTTGTGATTACCAGTTCGGAGGTGAGGAAGCATCTGCTAGATTTGGATGTGACAAAGGCTATAGGCCTGGATGGACTCGGACCATGGATACTAGAGGAGCAGAAGCTCTGTATCTGCCACTCTCAATGGTGTACAACAAATCTCTGGTAACAGGTGAACTGCCAAGAATTTAAAAGACGACCAATGATATCCCATTATATAAGAAGGATGATAGGCAGGAAGCAATGAACTTTATGCCAGTGTCCCTAACGTGCACACCATGCAAGATGATGGAGAAACTTGTGCGAGAAAACTAGTGGAACATCTGGAGCGAAGGAACTTTGTAACATAACAGCAGCATGGGTTCAGGGATGCCAAGTCCTGCCTCACAGGATTAATTTAATTTTATGACCAGGCAACACAAATCAGGGAAAAAAGATAGGGCTGGGCAGACTGCATATTTTTGGATTGGCAGAAAGCCTTTGACCCAGTACCACACAAGAGACTAGTGCACAAGCCGGAGATGCAGGCAGGAGTGAAAGGGAAGGTACTCCACTGGAAAAGGAAGTACCTAAGCAACAGAAGACAGAGAGTCACTATGAGGAGTGACGTCTCTTAGTGGCGAGACGTCATCAGTGGAGTCCCACAGGAATTTGTTCTTTGACCTATACTGTTTCTGATTTACGTATATGATCTCTCAGAGGGTATAGAATCGTTCCTCTCATTCTTTGCTGATTATGCAACGATTATGAGGAGGATTAAGACAGAGGATGATAGTATGAGGCTATAAGATGACCTAGAGAAACTGAATGAATGGTCCAACAAATGGCTACTAAAGTTCAACCTGAGTAAATGTAAGGTAATGAAACTAGGCAGTGGAAACAGGAGGTCAGACACAAGGTACTGAATAGGAGATAAAGTCCTTCATGAAACGGACAGAGAGAAAGACTTAGGAATTGATATCACACCAAACCTGTCTCCTGAAGCCCACATAAAAGAATAACATCGGCGTCGTATGCAAGGTTGACTAACATCAGAACTATCTTCAGGAACCTGTGTAAAGAATCATTCAGATCCTTGTATACCACATAACTAAGACCAATCCTGGAGTATGCGGCCCCAGCATGGAGCCCGTACGTTGTCAAACACAAGAAGAAGCTGGAAAAAGTTCAGAGGTATGCCACTAGGCTAGTCCCAGAACTAAGAGGCATGAGTTACGAGGAAAGGCTGTGAGAAATGCACCTCACGACTCTGGAAGACAGAAGAGTAAGGGGAGACATGATCACTACCTACAAAATTCTCTGGCGAATTGACAAAGTAGATAAGGATAAACTGTTTATCACGGGTGGTACGCAAACAATGGGACACAGGTGGAAAACTGAGTATCCAAATAAGCCACAGGGACGTTAGGAAGAACTTTTTCAGTGTCAGAGTAGGTAACAGATGGAATGCATTAGGCAGTGATGTGGTGGAGGCTGACTCCATACACAGCTTTAAATGTATATATGATTGAGCCCAGTAGGCTCAGGAACCAGTACATCAGTTGATTGACTGTTGAGAGGCGGAACCAAATTGCCAAAGCTCAACCCCCGCAAGTACAACTAGGTGAGTACACACACACGCAAACACCCACGCACGCACACACACACACACACACACACACACACACACACACACACACACACACACACACACACACACACACACACACACAGTCACAGAGACATTAGAAAGAACTTTTTTAGTGTCAGATTAATAGACAAATGGAATGCATTAGGCAGTGATGTACTATAGGCTGACTCCATACACAGTTTTAAGAGTAGATATGACGGAGCCCAGTAGGCTCAGGTACCTGTACACCAGTTGATTGACTGTTGAGAGGCGAGACCAAAGAGCTAGAGTTCAACCCCTGCAAGCACAACTAGGTGAATACTTTATAATAAATAAAACAGAATGAGATGAAACAACTCCTGACTCGCTCACTAGTAAACACACTCACGAGGGTCAAAGCAATCGCCGTGGAGTGCACTCAAGACACACTTGAGTGTGGTGTGTGAAGCTTTGTATTGACTGAGTATCTTATCAGTGTTTCCCCTCTCGGCATTATACGATTTCCTCCGCTGGTAATTGTTCTGTTTTGAATAACGTTAATGGCTCTCCATCAAGATAATTTATTTAACGAACGAGTTCTCTCTCTCTCTCTCTCTCTCTCTCTCTCTCTCTCTCTCTCTCTCTCTCTCTCTCTCTCTCTCTCTCTCTCTCTCTCTCTCTCTCTCTCAGTCTCTCTCTCTCTCCCTCCCTCCCTCTCCCTCTCTCACTATGACTCCCAGCAGGGAAACATTAGGGGTGAGGAAGAGTGCTCGAGGCAGCTCACGTAACGCGGTGTTGTCAAGCCTGAATGTTTCAGCGGTGGAGGTCACCCTTGAGGTGTGGCACACCCGCCTGGCCCCCAGGGAGAGGCACTGTGCCACGGTGAACAGCCTCGGTGAACAGCCACGGAGAACAGCCACGGAGAACAGAGATGGAGAACAGCCAAGGTGAACAGCCATGGAGAACAGCCACGGTGAACATCAACGGAGAACAGCCATGGAGAACAGAGATGGAGAACAGCCATGGAGAACAGTCACAGCGAACAGTCACGGTGAATAGCCACGGTGAACAGTCACGTTGAACAGACACGGTGAACAGACACAGTGAACAGATCGGAAGGAAAGCCACGGAGGAATTCTCTGATTGGCATCTAAGCGGTTCTGTTGACCATCCATGGTGAAGTTCTCTGTTGACCATCCATGGTGAAGTTCTCTGTTGACCATCCATGGTGAAGTTCTCTGTTGACCATCCATGGTGAAGTTGTCTGTTGACCATCCATGGTGAAGTTCTCTGTTGACCATCCATGGTGAAGGGCTCTGTTGACCATCCACGGTGAAGGGTTCTGTTGACCATCCATGGTGAAGTTCTCTGTTCACCATCCATGGTGAAGTTCTCTGTTGACCATCCATGGTGAAGGGCTCTGTTGACCATCCACGGTGAAGGGTTCTGTTGACCATCCATGGTGAAGTTCTCTGTTGACCATCCATGGTGAAGTTCTCTGTTGACCATCCATGGTGAAGTTCTCTGTTCACCATCCATGGTGAAGTTCTCTGTTGACCATCCATGGTGAAGGGCTCTGTTGACCATCCACGGTGAAGGGTTCTGTTGACCATCCATGGTGAAGTTCTCTGTTGACCATCCATGGTGAAGTTCTCTGTTGACCATCCATGGTGAAGTTCTCTGTTGACCATCCATGGTGAAGTTCTCTGTTGACCATCCATGGTGAAGTTCTCTGTTGACCATCCATGGTGAAGGGCTCTGTTGACCATCCATGGTGAAGGGCTCTGTTGACCATCCATGGTGAAGTTCTCTGTTGACCATCCACGGTGAAGGGCTCTGTTGACCATCCATGGTGAAGGGCTCTGTTGACCATCCATGGTGAAGGGCTCTGTTGACCATCCATGGTGAAGTTCTCTGTTGACCATCCATGGTGAAGTTCTCTGTTGACCATCCATGGTGAAGTTCTCTGTTGACCATCCATGGTGAAGAGCTCTGTTGACCATCCATGGTGAAGGGTTCTGTTGACCATCCGTGGCGGACGGCTCTAAAGTACTCTAAAACTGTCACATAGAAATCCCTGAACAATCAAAACATTCACGGTCTATATTATTGGAGGGCAGCTCCGAAAGGCAGCACCAGAAGGCAGCACCAGAAGGCAGCAGCAAAGGGCAGCAGCAGAGGGCAGCACCGGAGGGCAGCAGCAGAGGGCAGCAGCAGAGGGCAGCAGCAGAGGGCAGCACCGAAGGGCAGCACCGGAGGGAAGCAGCAGAGAGCAGCACCAGAAGGCAGCAGCAAAGGGCAGCAGCAGAGGGCAGCACCGGAGGGCGGCAGCAGAGGGCAGCAGCAGAGGGCAGCACCGGAGGGCGGCAGCAGAGGGCAGCAGCAGAGGGCAGCACCGGAGGGCAGCAGAAGAGGGCAGCAGAAGAGGGCAGCAGCAGAGGGCAGCAGCAGAGGGCAGCAGCAGAGGGCAGCAGAAGAGGGCAGCAGCAGAGGGCAGCAGCAGAGGGCAGCAGCAGAGGGCAGCAGAAGAGGGCAGCAGCAGAGGGCAGCAGCAGAGGGCAACACCGGACGGCAGCACCGGAGGGCAGCAGCAGAGGGCATCAGCAGGGGGCAGCTCCGAAAGGCAGCAGTAGAGGGCAGCTCCGAAGGGCAGCAGTAGAGGGCAGCTCCGAAGGGCAGCACTATAGAGCGAGATTTTCTCGGGATGACAGCTCGGGCGTCTGTCACGGGAGAATATCTAAGTATTTTATCTTTAGCTGACACCTCTGTCAGATAACTTACAATGACAGCTCTGAAGATCGCTCCTGAAGCATCCTCAGTGGACAAGAATCAGCTAATTATATAGGCAGAATGAAGTATTCTCATACTGTCCATTGCAGATAATTAAGATAAATTAGTAAGATAGTCTGAGACTACCTGTCTTAGTCTGGTAGTCTGAGAACCTTTCACTTTAGAGATGCTACACCGATGATGATACTCTTCAAGACGCTAGTGCTCTCTAGAGTGGCTTACTGCTTCACAATGACAACCACTTTCAAAGCTGGAGAAATTGCTCATCTGGAGTGCGTGTAGAGATCCTGCTAGAATCCACTCAGTAAAACATCTAAACTCTTGGGACCGACTAAAGAGCCTAAATCTGTATTCTCTTGAGCGCAGGCGGGAGAGATACATAACAATTTATACATAGAAAATATTAGAGGGGCTGGTCCTAAACCTGCACACAGAAATAACACCACATGAGACTGGGAGGCATGGCAGGATGTACAGAAGACCCCTGTTGAAGAACAGAACGGCCCTATTGGGTCGCAACTGGGGTTCTTCTCTGATGTTAGTAGAGTTTGGGTATCCTGCCCCAAGTTAGTAGTGGCTTTCAAGGGGTGTGTTCCATAACGCAAGTAAATTAAAGGGAAAGGGATACAAATACACTAAATTAAATATATAATTACCACCACCAATAAATAAATATATAAACTGTCACACGGGGGGGGGGGGTATAAACACTATAATATACAGAATGGTCTTCCTCTGAAGATGCAGAATGTTCCACAGTGCTCAAGACGAGTAGCCCTGGTTTTCTTCTTGTGGCCTCACGATGAATCCTCCGAGTCCCTCGGCGAGTCTACCCTGGCCACAGGCCAGCCAAATCACAGTCCCACTGGGTGCACCGTCGTGGAGGCCTTCAACCACAAATCCAGCCTGTAGCTGGCAGATTCCAATCAGCTCTGCTGCGTAGGCCACTCCACGACCGATACTAGGGTTGTGAGCCCTAGGCAGGAGCCTCGTGTGATTCCGCTGATCACTCTCCTCACCACAACACCCCAGTGGCTAGTCTTTTCCACCAGTCAGCTCCGGATACGACAATTCCTGGTTCTGCCACGTCACAGGCAGGCTAACACAACAGTGTTCATCCGGGGGGTGGGGGGGGGGGGGGGTGACTCACAGCTTCTGCAGCAAACACGTGGAGATACTATGGCTGCCTTGGGTAGACTGCCCCACCGTCCGATTCAGCAGTCCCAGGTCGACTCTGTAATCAGACACGTCATTAGTACTGATGACCCTCTAGGGCACCTCACTCACAGGCTTAGACACAAACGTCCACCTATCCGCTTCATAGATGGCATTGCTGTCTAAGCGCCACCTCACCAGAGGTCAGCAGCGGCTATGTCACGAGCTGATTAAGGCGGGAAACCAGCCCCTGTGGCCGGTATATCTCGTCCTCACTAGATGGCATCGTCTATTTGGAAGGGGTTTCAGGAGCTGACCCACAGATGGCGTTGTCGTCGCCGCTCCGTGCTCGGACGCTGGACTCGGGTCCGTAACAAGAACTATCAACATTAGAGGCCCGAGACTGTTCAATAAGCTTCAACTACACATAAGGGGCATAACTGACCGACCCCTCACAGTGTTCAAGAGAGAACTATCAACATCAGAGGCCCGAGACTGTTCAACACGCTTCCACTACACATAAGGGACATAACTGGCCGACCCCTCACAGTGTTCAAGAGAGAACTATCAACATTAGAGGCCAAGATTGTTCAACACGCTTCCGCTACACATAAGGGACATAACTGGCCGACCCCTCACAGTGTTCAAGAGAGAACTATCAACATTAGAAGCCGAGATTGTTCAACACGCTTCCGCTACACATAAGGGACATATCTGGTCGACCCCTCACAGTGTTCAAGAGAGAACTCTGTCAACATCAGAGGCCCGAGACTGTTCAACACGCTTCCACTACACATAAGGGACATAACTGGTCGACCCCTCACAGTGTTCAAGAGAGAACTTGACAAACACCTCCAAAGGATACCTGATCAACCAGGCTGTGATTCGTACGTCAGGCTGCGAGCAGCCGCCTCCAACAGCCTGGTTGACCAGTCCAGCAACGAGGAGGCCTGGCCGACGACCGGGCCGCGGGTTCGCTAAGCCACGGAAGCACCTCAAGGTAACCTCAAGATAAGCAAGGTAAGGTAGGACATGTGCCTTGACGCTGACGTTGAACATACATATACATCAGAGTATTAGCAGAAGGTTGTGGCCAGTTAGTTTATATCATTTATTTTGTCTTTGTAGCCGCATTAAATATCCGTAAATCTTTCATATTTTGGGTTCTGTAGCAGAGTAGTCTACATCGTCGCCCCACAATCAAGGGTTCATTTCAGTCCTCGAGCAAGACAGAAACTCTTGGGCGTGTTTCTCTTCACCTGTTGCACTTGTTCACCTAGCAGCGGTACTTGGGAGCTAAGTCTTTGTAAATTGCCCCAATGAGAGGAGCAGAAATGACAGTGAATTGCACTACCCCCCCCCCTCTTCCCGTCCTCATACCGAGCCTATGCAATCAGGAAGCCTGCAACATGTGCCACAGCTCGCCACCTGTTCCCTTGAGAGCAACGTTTGTTGTACAAGACGTGAATATTCCTGCGAGGGTAAAGTGGAAGATGGTACACAGGTCAACAGCGATCATGCATTCAGGATGGGAGTGAACATCACAGATACCCAGAGTTTAACTACGTCCCCGCCCGTGAGAGATGAGGCTCAGTGCTACAGTCACTGTGTGCTACAGTCACTGTGTGCTACAGTCACTGTGTGCTACAGTCACTGTGTGCTTCAGTCACTGAGTACCACAGTCACTGTGTGCTACAGTCACTGTGTGCTACAGTCACTGTGTGTTACAGTCACTGTGTGTTACAGTCACTGTGTGCTTCAGTCACTGAGTACCACAGTCACTGTGTGCTACAGTCACTGTGTGCTACAGTCACTGTGTGCTACAGTCACTGTGTGCTACAGTCACTGAGTACTACAGTCACTGTGTGCTACAGTCACTGTGTGCTACAGTCACTGTGTGCTACAGTCACTGAGTACCACAGTCACTGTGTGCTACAGTCACTGTGTGCTACAGTCACTGTGTACTACAGTCACTGTGTGCTTCAGTCACTGTGTGCTACAGTCACTGAGTACTACAGTCACTGTGTGTTACTGTCACTGTGATCTACAGTCACTGTGTACTCATCTATTTGTACTTACCTATTTGTGCTTGCAGGATTGAGCATTGACTCTTGGATCCCGCCTTTCTAGCCATCGGTTGTTTACAGCAATGACTCCGGTCCTATTTCCCTATCATACCTAATTTTAAAATTATATAAAATAGAGGTTGCTTCCACAATCTGTTCCCCAAGTGCATTCCATTTTTCCACTATTCTCACGCTAAAAGAAAACTTCCTAATATCTCTGTGACTCATCTGAGTTTCCAGTTTTAACCCATGTCCCCTCGTTCTGTTATTATTACGTGTGAACATTTCATCTATTTTCACTTTGTCAATTCCCCTTGGTATTTTATATGTTCCTATCATATCTCCTCTTTCCCTTCTTTTCTCTATTGTCGTAAGGTTCAGTTCCTTCAGACGCTCTTCATATCCCATCCCTCGTAACTCTGAGACAAGCCTCGTCGCAAACCTTTGAACCTTCTCCAGTTTCCTTATGTGTTTCTTCAATTGGGGGCTCCATGATGGCGTGGCATACTCTAAGACTGGTCTCACGTAGGCAGTGTAAAGCGCCCTAAAAGCCTCCTCACTTAGATTTCAGAATGAAGTTCTGATTTTCGCCAGTGTAGAGTACGCTGCTGTCGTTATCCTATTTATATGTGCCTCAGAAGCTAGATTAGGTGTTACGTCCACTCCCAGGTCTCTTTCTCGAATCGTTACAGGGAGGCAGTTCCCTTTCATTGTGTACTGTCCCTTTGGTCGCCTATCACCTGATCGTATTTCCATAACTTTACATTTACTCGTGTTAAACTCCAGTAGCCATTTCTCTGACCATCTCTGCAACCTGTTTAAGTCCTCTTGGAGGATCCTACAATCCTCGTCTGTCACAACTCTTTTCATTAATTTTGCGTCATCCGCAAAAATTGACATATAGGATTCCACTCCTGTAAACATATCATTTACATAAATTAGAAAGAGGATGGGTCCCAGCACCGATCCTTGAAGTACTCCGCTCGTTACTGTTCGCCAGTCCGACTTCTCGCCCCTTACCATTACCCTTTGGCTTCTTCCTGTTAGGTAATTCCTTACCCATGCTAGGGCCTTTCCGCTTACTCCTGCCTGCCTCTCAAGTTTGTATAGCAGTCTCATGTGCAGTACTGTACCAAAGGCCTTTTGGCAGTCCAGAAATATGCAGTCTGCCCTGCCTTCTCTGTCCTGCCTTATCCTTGTCACTCTATCATAGAATTCTAAAAGGTTTGTTAGGCATGATTTACCTGTCCAGAACCCATGTTGGTGCTTGTTTACAAACCCAATGCTCTCCAGGTGCTCAACAAGTCTTAGCCTAATTATTCTTTCAAGTATTTTGCAGGGGATGCTTGTCAGTGATACGGGTCTGTAGTTAAGTGCCTCCTCCCTATCACCTTTCTTGAAAATCGGTACGACATTTGCCTCCTTCCAGCAACTTGGCAATTCCCCCGACATAAGTGACTCATTAAAGATCATTGCCAGAGGCACGCTGAGAGCCTGCGCTGCCTCTTTTAGTATCCACGGTGATACATTGTCTGGACCAACCGCTTTAGTTGCATCCAGTGTTGTTTCATTACCTCCTCTGCTGTCACCTCTATATATGATTGTCTTTCATCTAGGGTAATCTCTTCTAACAATGGGAGCCGCTCAG